CTCCCTCTCTCTCTCTCTCGCTCTCTCTCTCTCTCTCTCTCTCTCTCTCTCTCTCTCTCTCTCTCTCTCGCTGGGTGTGAACTGCCGCGTGGTGACGCTTCGAGTGCACGTATCTTCTGTCTCGCGACGTTAACTCAATCCGACTCTCGGCTATTAATAATAGATGGCGGCGGGGCGGCGACGGCGACGTCGCATCGTGTCTGTCCGACTCTGTCGTCTGCGTGCTCGTGCCGTCACCCCGCGGCCATGCGCGCAGACGCTGCCTCAGTGATAGAGCGTGAGAGCGCGCGAAAGCCGGCGTGACGGCAAAGCGCAGTAAAATAAACACGGATGAGCTGGAAATTTCGCGCATGGCGTGGCGTGGCGTGGCGTGACGTGACGTGACGTGACGTGGCGTGACGTGGCGTGACGTGGCGTGGCGTGACGTGACGTGACGTGGCGTGACGTGGCATCTCCGAGAAACAGACATACATCTATGTCTATATTTGTATCTATCTATTTGTCCATCCACCTCATCTCTCTCTCTCTTCTCTCCTCTCTCATCTCTCTCTCTCTCTCTCCTCTCCCTCTCTCTCTCTCTCTCTTCTCTCTCTCTCTCTCTCTCTTTCATCTCTCTCATCTCTCTCTCTTCTTCTCTCTCTCTCTCTTCTCTCTGCTCTCTATATATATATCATATATATATCATATACGTATATATTCCTCCGATATCTCTGCTTAACTGATTTTCAGAGACGAGCGCGTCCGCGTGAGGATCATCGTGGAGATCTCGTAGACCGCCGACAGGCAACTTTGTTCTGTATTATTATGAGGAAATCCGCTAGCGATTTTTCATTCAAGTACTTCGGCAGCGGTTTCTGTCGACCGGTCTAAGGCTCTAAGCGAAAAAGTAATGTTAAGACTAATGTTAAGACTAATTTTGTTTCTGCAACGGGCCCCTGAACCCTGAAGCCAGACTGAATCCTGACTGCCCTGCGCCGAGACATGGAGAGAGGGAGTGGCGAGAGAGAGAAGAGAGAGAGAAAGAAAGAGAGGCGAGGAGATAGAGATTAGAGAGGAAGAGAGAGAAGAGAGAGAGATGAGAGAGAGAGAGAGAGGAGAGGAGACGATGAGAGAGAGAGAGAGAGATAGATAGATAGATAAGAGAGAGAGAGAGATAGAGAGATGGAGAAAGCGAGAGAGAGAGAGAGAGAGATAGAGAGCGAGATGGAGACAGAGCGAGAGCGACATTCCCCTCCCCTTCTCTCTGTCTCTCTCGCTCTCCGCTCTCTTGCTATCTTTCTCTCGACCTTCTCTCTTTCACACACTGATGCTGCTTTTTCCTCTTTTTCATCGTCGCAGTCTTTACGACGGCAAGTCGGTCTACACGCGCACGTAAACAGCGAATTAGCTGACGCAAGAGCAGTGAGTGATTCTCACGAATTTCCCATTTACTTGCGCAATTTAGCTACTGCCAGCGTCGGCGCAAAAGCCTAATATGCGACACAGAGGACAAGAGTTTAGCGCGACGGCTACGACGCGACGCGCGCATCGCCCGAACAACAAGCCGATCGACTCGATCCATTTTTCAATTAACAGCGAAATTACTTTGTAGGGCGGTAGAGCGCGCCGCAGTATGAACATGCAGTATATATATATATATATATATATATATATATATATATGTGTGTGTGTGT